GACCACCATTATATCTGTAAAACTACGTTCAAGGCACCTTGAACTGCAAACAAGGTCAATTATTACCATTATTGCTATTATTATAATCCATAAGGTCTTATATTTGTAAAACTTTCCCAAAGCTATAGAAAAGCTGCTTTAAGCTGCATGACGCCTTCCCAGTGGCTTACACAATCTCATTCAAGTGACTGTCCGCCATCTTTGAGTCCAGTACCCAGTTCTTGTAATCATATAGCAGTTATATGCTTCTTATGTATATATTTAACTTTCATCCATCCATCCATTTTCCACCGCTTATCCGGGGTCGGGTCGCGGTGGCAGCAGGCCAAGCAGGCTGACCCAGACCTCCCTCTCACCGGCAACATGTTCCAGCTCATTCTGGGGGATCCCGAGGCGTTCCCAGGCCAGCTGGGAGATGTAATCCCTCCAGCGTGTTCTGGGTCTTCCCCGGGGTCTCTTCCCAGTTGGACGTGCCTGGAAAACCTCCAGTGGGAGGCGTCCAGGAGGCATCCTAATTAGATGCCCGAACCACCTCAGCTGACTCCTTTTGACGCGAAGGAGTAGCGGCTTGACTCCAAGCTCCCTCCTGATGACCGAGCTCCTTACCCTATCTCTAAGGCTGAGCCTGGCGACCCTACGGAGGAAGCTCATTTCGGCCGCGACCTTGTCCGCGACAAGGTCGCGGCCTTGTCCTTTCGGTCACGACCCAGAGTTCGTGACCATAGGTGAGGGTAGGAACCTAGACCGAGTGGTAAATTGAGAGCTTTGCCTTCCGGCTCAGCTCCCTCTTCACCAAGACGGTCCGGTGCAGCGCCTGCTTTACTGCTGCAGCAGCACTGATCCGTCTGTCGATCTCCCGCTCCATCTTACCCTCACTCGTGAACAAGACCCCGAGATACTTGAACTCCTTCCCTTGAGGTAGGCACTCCGTCCCCACCTGGAGGGAGCAATCCACCGGTTTCCGGCAGAGCACCATGGCCTCAGATTTGGAGGTGCTAACTCTCATCCCCGCCGCTTCACACTCGGCTGCAAACCGCCCCAGTGAATGCTGGAGGTCACGATCCGAGGAGGCTAACAGAACCACATCATCTGCAAATAGCAGAGAGGCGATCCCGAGACCCCCGAACCTGACGTTCTCCACCCCCCAGCTGCGCCTAGATATCCTGTCCATGAAAGTCACGAACAGGACCGGAGACAAAGGGCAGCCCTGGCGGAGGCCAACACCCACCGGGAACGTGTCTGATTTATTGCCGAGAATGCGGACACAGCTCCTACTGCTGTCGTACAGAGACCGGATCGCCCGTTGTAACGGGTCTGGCACCCCATACTCCCGCAGCACCCCCCACAAGAACCCCCGAGGGACCCGGTCGAAAGCCTTCTCCAAGTCCACAAAGCACATGTAGACTGGTTGGGCAAACTCCCAGAACCCCTCCAGTAGTCTTGCGAGGGTAAAGAGCTGGTCCACTGTTCCACGGCCGGGACGGAATCCGCATTGCTCCTCTTGAATCTGAGGTTCGACAAACGGTCGGAGCCTCCTTTCCAGCACCCTGGCATAAGCCTTCCCCGGGAGGCTGAATAGTGTGATACCCCGGTACTTCGAGCACACTCTCCGGTCCCCCTTTTTAAAAATGGGAACCACAACCCCGGTCTGCCAGTCCATGGGCACTGATCCCGACCCCCATGCGACATTGAAGAGGCGTGTCAGCCAGGACAGCCCAACTATGTCCAGCGCTTTCAGCATCTCAGGGCGGATCTCATCCACCCCCGGCGCCTTGCCACCAAGGAGCTTTTTGACTACCTCAGCGGCCTCTGCCAGGGATATGGATTTAGCTTTTCATGAGACTATAATTGTGGTTGGACTGAACAGGAGTAACTTCCTGCCATACAAACAAAGACACAGTTACAGTTAACTAGCTTGCAGCTAATTGCAGTGAATCTACAGAAACCTTGTCACGGTACTTCCTCATTGCTAACCTCTAAACTTAATCTCCCAAATCCAGTATCCCACTAGTGCCAGTGTTCACTGCCTCTGTAACGCAAGCTGACATCTCCTGAGTGTGTCTGTCAAGCCTTGTAGTGGTCATACACCATGTCTGTCCACACCCCTCCTGTCTACTTTGATCCAACAATACAAGAACTCCTCCCTGCACGGCCCTGCTGCTCCATACGTCAGAGAACGTTTTGTTCTCTGTACGCTGCCTTTAGAGTTTCAGGCTGCAGAGGAACCGAAATGATCATAAAACCAGAGTAGGGTAGGTCTAAAGAATGCCTTGGGTACACGCACATACACACGCACACACGCACGCACGCACACACACACACACACACACACACACACACACACACACAGACACGCACGCACGCTCACACACACACACACTCACACACCCACACCCACACGCGCACACAGACAGGATAGGACTAAAGAATATTTTCTAAATTTTTAAAATTAAATAAAACAAGCCATATGATGAAAAGGAGAACAGAACAATAATGTATGTACAGTGTGCACAAAACACTGTGTGCGTAACTGATTTTCCTGTTTGATTTGATGTTTATCTGTCACCCAGCAAACCTTGAGCATTTTTCCACACCCTCTCCTAGACTGTATGATTCATATTCATTCATACCGCCGCTGCTTTTAATCCCGATTATACTCTACTTGGATTCTTCGGAGGAGAGAGGATAACACTCACTCTTTGAGCATGTGTTTGCCTTCACTGTCTGTCTGGAGTTCATGGACATTTGACTGTGTATCTGGCTTCATCTGACCAGTGTGTCTCTCCTTACAGATGAGATCATGCAGCAGGAGATCAGGCCCCTGCTGGCTGTGGACATCATAGAGCAGCTCCATCGCCAGTTTGCCTTGCTCTCAGGTATGTAGAGTAACAAGACCCCACTGGAGGTTATGTATTTAAAGTGAAACCTCCGAAATACTGAAAGAATTCTATCCGAGAGAGGCGTATTGCAACGACGGCAGTGGTGGTGAAGACAACAACTCCCATGATCCCACATTAATTCACGACGCCACCAAACCAGTGTTTTGTTGTTGTTTTGATTGGGAGGCCACTGGCCGCAGAAAATGAGATATTGTGCTTAAAACATTTTCTAAATGACTTTGGGTGATAATCTGCCGCAAGTGTTTGTTTCTTCATTTGCTGTTATTGGAAGCATATGGTGTCCTTTGCTTGATGGATGTAAAATGTGGTGAACAAAGTCTTCTTGAACCAAAAAACAAAAGCACATTTGAATGAATGAGGCTATAAAACAATATCGTTTTTTTTCTCTTCTTTTTGATCTGCTGACAATGAAAACAACGAGATGTAAAAGGAGTACTACAGCAGTTTAGCATTGAACTTCTGTTAACTTGGGGAAATCAAGAGACAGATTCAAAATGGTCAAAATCCATACAGCAGTGTTTCACAGATCCTGATGTTTAGTCCTGTGTGGGTGTAGCTCAAAAAACACTGGCTCCTACTTCTCAACCAATAGCATTTCAGCACAACCACCCTTCCTTGTGAATGCCCTTGCCTTTTAAACTCCTTAAACATCTCTTACTTGTAATATAGGCTTTCTGTTAACAGGTGTAGTTTCCAAGCCCAAGGAAAGATAACCCTGATGACTTCATCACTATTCTCTTCACGGCGACAGGACAAAGCTCTGCCTGGTGTCCTGCAAATTACATCCACATTCAGCAAAACTGAATCGTCTACTACGTTTTGAGGGAAACATGTTTTTGTCCCAGATTATGTTTGTTTTTTATGTATCACAAACAAGTTTTTTGTGAGAGTCTGAGGAAGTCAAGAAGTTAGGAGGAGGTCAGAGTGGGAGGATGGATGGGTCTAACAAACACAGGAGACCGCTGTTTGTGTCCCGTGTGAAACAGAACAACTGTACTTGTAGTAACGTGACATAAGTGCCTTACAAGTTATTCATTCATAACAATTTCTTCAAGTTTCACCTAAGTGAGCCTAGAGGGCTTTAATGGAGCAGGGCGTGTGATTGTTTGTGAGGGCATGGAATTTTAGTAGCACGGCAAACGCTGAATAGTCTAATACCCTGAAGAAACAGAGTGGTTAAATATGTCCTGACTGCGTGTGTCTCTAATGTCCCCGCTTCAAACAAGCCTTATAGATACCCTTGTAGTCAGTGGCGGGCCGTGTATTTTATACCTGGGCCTTCACTGTTGTCCTGCAGCTGAATTACCACCTTATAACCACATGATGGCACCACAGATATTATTAGTTTCTAAGGCTGTAACTATGTACGTATTAAATGTACGGTACGAGACTTGTAATACCTTTGAATAGTACTAGAGCATCTGGAAAATGCAGAAGCTCATATTCAGGAAAATATAATGTTTTCTGTGCTCATGGAGGACAGCGGTTCTCAGCTGGTCTGGCTGTGGGACTCACCATCACGCCTTAATGACAAGTCGTGGCCCAAAGAGATCATCTTATGATTTTACTTTCTCAACTTGAGCATTGTACGTACTGCTCTGCAATGTCTTTCCTCGTCTCAGTCTCCTGTCTCATGGTGCATCTCACTCAGTCAGAATGCCCATATTTGATTGGCTGAGCTGCATCACGTGATGTGATTCACTACCCGACATGCCTCTGCTGTTAAGCTTCATTTCACGATAGTCACGTGCTCGCCCACTGGCCAATCACAGCACACTCTGCACCTCGCGGCAGACACTGAGCTGCACTAATGCTGACGTTATTATAGGCCTGTGAGCAGGCTCTGATACGTCAAAGAATACGCCCAACATGTCAAACTAAAGATCTGATTGGTTGAACACTATGACAATCAACAATATCGTCCCCATTCACTTAAACTGCACATGGATTCACTTGTGAGTCTGCAGGCCTCAGGCCTCTGTTCTTACCTAGAGACACAGAGGTGAAATCTGATTGGATAAAA